GCTGCTCTCCCAGCACTCCAGGCTTCTCCTCTTGTTGACAATTACCCGCTTACTAGTTGTCCTCAAGGTTGGGAAGAGGAGGAGCTGATTTGTCGTGGTGCTTGGTGATTTGCATCCCTGCCCCCTACGCGGAGCCTTGAACCTTGGAGGTGCTCAGACCCGGGGAGGAAAGCGCTGCTTGTTGGGGATCCCTGGGTGGCGCAGCGGTTTGGCGCCTGCCTTTGGCCCAGGGCGCGATCCTGGAGACCCGGGATCGAATCCCACGTCGGGCTCCCGGTGCATGGAGCCTGCTTCTCCCTCTGCCTGTGTCTCTGCCTCTCTCTCTCTGTGACTATCATAAATAAAAAAAAAAAAAAAAAAAAAAAAAAAAAAAAAAAAGCACTGCTTGTTGACGACTAACCTAGGAATACAGGCGACCTGTGTCGACACCAGGCGGTTAAGCACAACTTCTTTATAAAATGGGTGACACATTTGGCAAGGGTCCGTTGATTTATCTGCTCATCGAAAATATGTTTTTTGAGCAGTTAATTGAGGCTTGTAGTTCTAGGGGCCAAAGTGAGCTACACAGACACCGTGTCTACTCAGTGCTGCGTCTACAACAAATAAATCCCTGCTGGCAGATTTGAGCCTTGCTGGTCTCACCTTCTTTTCTCCTTCAGGTGTGTTTAGTGTTATCCTTTTCATTTCTCAGGTTATTTTCTGTCCTTAAAGACTTTAGTTTTCATTTAGTCTTGTATCTTTCTTGAAATATTTATTTCTTCATATGATGCTTCTAGTTGTGATATAATTGGATTTTTCCCCATTTTTTTTCTAGATTCTGATTCTAGTTCAGAAAACTATTAGTTTTTGTATGTCTGTTGCTTGAGTATATTCTCTTCCTAGAGATCATAGCTTTTTATTAAAAATCTCTTGAGCTTGGGACGCCTGGGTGGCTCAGCGGTTGAGGGTCTACTCTCAGCTCAGGGCGTGACCCTTGGGGTCCTGGGATCGAGTCCCACATTGGGGTCCCTGCACGGAGCCTGCTTCTCCCTCTGCCTGTGTCTCTTGTGAATAAATAAAATCTTTTAAAAAAAATCTCTTGAGCTCTGTAGGTGTACAATCAGGAAAAAATAAGTTCTCTTATGACGTTAAGCCAATTTTAAAATTTTATCATCTGTTAATATCACTCCAAAGCAATCTAGGCTAGCAGGTAACTCTGCTTTGCTCTGATTTCAATTGAGAGGACTTCAGCATTTCCCCTATTTTAAATTTTTTTGTTTAAATCTAAATTGGGAATGGCTATTGGATTTTATAAAATGTTTCTTCAGCAAGGTCATGATCATAGGCCTCTTCTGCTTAAAGTTTGTGCTGACATAGGTTAATAGGTATCGGCCCACACTTGTATCTTTGTTTTACTGTTGATAAATTACCAGGTTTTGTTGGCTAATCTCAGAAATGCCCCCAGGCTTTTGGCATTTGGGTGTCCCCCTTTCCACTTCCGGTACTAAGGCAGGTTTTCTTCCATCGCGCATTATTATGATCATTTTGATTTTGATGAGAAATGGGAATAGCTGTCAATTTCTCCAGGTGATCCCATATTTTAAAATTATTATATAGCTTCAAAGAGAAAGAAATAATTCATAATTACACTCTCTTTAAAAGTTACTCACAGCTCCTGCTGTTTGGTCATAAACGCCCTTGTGTTTGTCCGAGTCTGCAACCCCTCAACAAACTTGACAAGGAATCCTCGCCCTCAGCAGGCCACTTGCTGCTCTTCTGAATCCTGGGGTGGGGGTTCCCATAGGGCATCACTACCCTCCTTCCTCACGGGAAGGCTGTCCTGTGCACTACACAGCTCTGGGGGCACCATTCACTCTCAGCCGTTGTGCCTACGTAAATTTATTACAATTTCCCAGCGGATGGCAGTGGACTGGCCCGAGGAAGGGGCGCCAGGAAGGCCGGGACTCCCTTCCGAGACTGGCTAAGTTACCTGGGACCTGCAGCTAGTTTGGGGCAGGGAAAAAGACCCGTGCAAGCCTGGGACGCCTGAAAGCAGCAGTCTTCATCCACGCCTTTCCCCCTTGATCCTGTTAGTGAACAACAGCGGAAGTCAGGCTCACCCCCAACATCCCCTCGGCTGATAATGTTCTATTTCTTAAGCAGAATGGTGGTTTCAGAGGCGTTCATTTTATTATGCTTTATAGTTTATGTACATGTTACATATATTCATTCTGAATGCTTTGATACAATAAAGGAAAGCACACATATACAAATAAGAATATCATTCTCATGGGGAAGATTTTGAATCTGCTGAAATTTTTCTCCCATTAGCCTTGTCACCAATCTCAGTAATGTAACTATTATGAGTTAGCAAGCATGTCACAATGCACCCCATCTTGATGCTAGAGTTAGAAATCATTCTTCCGTTAAAGCATTTAGAAAAAACAGTGATGTATTTTATTTTTAATTACTTTATTATACACCAGGGTAATTTTTCTATTGACACTTGTTATAGTTGCAACATAGGCATGATAGCAGGCTGCTCAGTCTCTCTCAGCCTGTCTCTGCAATTTAAAGCAGTCGAGTGGCAGGAATTTCTTACAGAAAGCTATTACATAGAAGTTTGAACGTTACTAGCTGCTACTCTTGAGTGGTACCCAAGAGAGTTCAAAATTTTAGTTGGAAAAACTAAAACCCAACCTTAAAAGTGATGCTTGGGTGCAGGACAAACGCAGTGCATGTCCAGCCCCGTGACGGCGACTGCTAGCTGTGCTTCCTCAGTCATGAATCCTGAAATGTTAATTGGCCTGTGACAGCCGGAATAAAGACGATTATTTCCTGTTCTCTTTGTAGCTAGTAGGATCAAGTTTGAGTTGATGAGCCTATGTGGTGCTAACTTATAAGAAGTGTTTTTTTTTTTTTTTTTTTTTTTTTTTTTTTACGATAGTCATAGAGAGAGAGAGAGAGGCAGAGACACAGGCAGAGGGAGAAGCAGGCTCCATGCACCGGGAATCCGACGTGGGATTCGATCCCGGGTCTCCAGGATCGCGCCCTGGGCCAAAGGCAGGCGCCAAACCGCTGCGCCACCCAGGGTTCCCCGTAAGAAGTGTTCCTAAAGGAAGAGGGCAGAAATGCTGACAGGTTTCTAGCTGTGCAGCTGCCTGCAACTTTGATGTGGAAGCTACATACTAACGGGGGGGCCAATGTCGAGGGAACCTGGGTTCCCGACCCCGCAGCGCTACAGCAGCCGTGGACTGCCTTCCGGACTTTTACACGCACAAGAAACAAAGTTCTATCTTGTTTAAGTCACTATTGTTTGGGGACATAGCCAAAAGTAATAAATAGTGCCAAATTTGAGTCTCAGTTCCTTAACTTAAAAACCCGATGGAAGTCATATACTGAACCTGGTGGCAGTTACAGCTACTGCTAAGACGACATCAGATGGAAGCAGTTTCCCACAGAGAACATCATGTGTCCCAACGGCTATTTTACAGGGTGCTTAACTCCAAACATTTGACTTCCCACTAGTAAAGCCTCAACGTGCACCCAGGCTTTTCAAAAGAAACATCAAGAACATCAAAAAGTAATTGCCCTTAGGCTAGCTGCTTTGGATGCAAAATGACTGAAATCCCTTCCCATAAGAGAACTGTAACGAGCAATTAAACAAAAAATGGTTTATTTACAAAACTCAATGCATTTTTACAAATATCGTATTTGCATTCCCTAAGCCTTTTGGAAAGTAATTCCAGTTTGTGCAATGAGTTCACAGAAGAAAGTCTTAAGACATCTCTTAGACATCTTAAACCTAATTAATTCTCAATTTTGAAAGATATTTCACACTCTGTTAATAGAGGACTGTTTTTAAATTCAGAAAAACTAAACTCTGTAGTTAAATGTTGCCCTTCCATTATCTTTAACCCAAATACAAACTGGATTAGCCTGTGAAATAATTCCATTAGATCTGGATAAATTATTTCCATTCCCCCCCCCCCCCGCCCCATCCCATGCATGCACAAAGTAAACATGGCAAATTACATTAACGACATTTTATTTCAACATTTTTTTTTTTTTTTTTTTACTCTCTCAACTATTGTTTTGCTCAATCTGGGGTACGGATAGGTAGGATTCCAGTCTGGGGACATCCCAAGCCCCTCTACAGAATAGGGAAGGACGGGTCAGGGTCAGAGGGATCTCTACATAGGAGGCGTCGTTTGCTAATCAGAACAAGGTTTCCCTTCAGGTCTCAGGACACCTAAAGGGATCAGCTACCACCCTCCTAACAGTCTGGGAAGCATCCAATCCAAGCCTCCAAAGGACAACAGGCTCCTCTCTTTCTCCTCCTCCCTGAATCACTACCTTCATTTTAGTTCCTTCTGAGGTTGATGATGGAGAACAGTTCCTGTGTTCACATTCCAGAAACTGGCAGTGCCGTACAAAAATCTTCTGGAACAGGTAAAGAGCAACAAACAATGATACTTTAATTGTGCAAGAGTTTTCATCTCATGCATATGAAAGAAAATAATACTTTTTATCACTCATAGCTGCCATCTCTCAAAAACATAAAATCCACGTCCTGGCTCTTCAGCTGGAGGAGACAGAGGCATCTCCACTCCAGGTCCACCCGCTTAGCAATGCACTTCTTCATCTCCACACTAGATCTCTCCTCGAAAGACAGTGTCTCTCATGTCCGCTGTCGGTGGCTGTATGGGAGACGCTAAACTGGAGAAATAAAGTCCAACACCTGACACCGCCAACAAAATCCTAAGCTAAAGAAATGGTGAGGTAGAGTTGAGAGAGTTCAATTTTCTGAGCATAGATCTTTTGGCACATTCTAAAGACTTATTCAGACTCCTCAAATCCTCCTCTGGGACACCTTTACAAAGTGCTGGCAACTTAGGAACCCTCGGATCTATTTAAGAAACATCTATGCAAAGCTAACAGAAGAAAGTCATCTGAAGAAATGAATTCCTGGCAGTTGAGCTTATCTTACCCTAATATTGAAGCAAATAAAAACAATGCTATCCATTTGCTGAATTTATTTAAAGAAATCAATTTAGAAATATCATAGAATGAAACGAGACTTCTGACATGTAAACACACTGCTGTATTCCTGAAACAGATGTTAACACCTGATAAAAGCTAATAATCCTCGGCAGGAAAGCTGTCCGTTAGTAAGGCCGGTCTTCAGCAGTTACTAAAACCATTTTGCTTCTTCAGCTTTCCTGGTGTGACAATGCAATACTATCAAACCACAATCAGATATAATAAAGGACAAGATTGGATGGACAGGTCAGTACCATTGGTTACAGCTGTTAAACAGTTTCATTCTTGGCGCCACGTAAAAACAAGCCAATCACATCAAATAAATCATGGCTTTTTTTTTTTTATCACAATTCACTAAGTGATGTTAATTATGGTCCTTGTCAAACACGTTTGGTAAAGGCTATTTACAGTGTACATGGCTGAGCATGCACTATTTATAGTTACAAAGATACCTGCCAGTTTATTAACAATAGAATTACACAGTGCCTGAAAATGGTGAAACATCTCACACGTCATTTAAATCAATAGTCTCAAGCAGAAAACGTTCCTTATTTGACCACGATTGCAATAATTACATGAAAATTCTTATAAAAACACGAATCCCCCTCAAGAAATTGATGCATATTCTACGCACTATAGGTTAAGGCAGTAAAAAAATGTATTCCTGATAACTGGAGGTCTTGACAATGTCAATTAAAGCTGTCTGACTCTAGTTTTTCATTCTCCATCACATACTCAAAGTTCTGTCTGTATAACTAATTTGTGAGATTTCATTTTTAAAGTTGAAGTATTAGCAATGCAGAAGAGTTGATGCTGGAAAAAAGAAAACTGCTAGGGAAAAGGAAAAATGTTAACGTGGATTTTGCCTGAAAGTTTTCAAATTCTAAACAAGAGCATTATTTGTGAGTCTGAACCTTACAAGTATAAAACAAATACATATAGTTTACCTTTCTTAATTTAAAATATACTGAACTTTGAACAATTCAAGTAATGTAAGACTATCAAAAATAACTTCGTAAGCCATACAAGCCATCAACTGCATGTTCAATGTTTTAATTAAGAACTTTTTAAAAACTGTAAACTAAACCAGGAGTTTAGTTAACAAATGATAAGTGACCTTTATTTGCACTTGTGATTCCTTTAATACAAACGGCTACCAACATAGATGTAGGAGACGGCAGATTATGCATTTGATCAAAGCACTTGGATTTAAGCATAAACAGCCTCAGATGGTCTAAGCTCCGTGCAGAAGACCGCCCACTTGCAGACAGCCCCCTCTCCTCAGAACCCTGGATTCCTCAGCTGCAGAGGCGACAGGGACAAGCTGTTGTAAACAGGGCACTGCTATAAAACCAGGATATATTCTTAAATTAAGATCATTCTTGTTCAGTTGAAAAGACTCTCCCCACGTGTCTTCCAGCACTGGAGTATATTCTGCTGACCTCTTAATTTCATAAATTAACTTTCCTTTGATTCCATTTTTACGGTGGTTGTGTTCACAGTTTTGTTTTAAAAATTGGTTTAAATTTATATAAAACTCTGTACATGTTCACAAATTATTGCATAAACAGCATAATCTTCCAGACAGTGTTTGCAAACACATGTCCAATTCAGGAAAAATATATTCACGTTTCCCGTCTGGCTTTTTTCTTCTTTTTTATTTGTTTGGGAGATTCCCAGTTAGTTTCAGACTTGGCTAAAGGGAAGAAAAAAAGAAAAAGAAAAAACAGGAGTAAATACTCCAATGTCTCAAAAATACAAAAGCATTAATGAAAACATGTTTTGAAATCCACTAATAATGCTTCAACCTTTAAGTTTTCAAGTTTCAGTGACAAGTTTTTAGATTATTCTATGGCTGCCTTCCTCTTTTCCTTTGAATCCCAATGTATTACTTAGTTTAATCACATGGACGATATTTCACTGATTCTGATCTAGAAAACCCATCATTTAATATGGCTCAATCTAAGTAATAAAAGTGATAATGGGCAAAATTGACCCCGAAGGTAGCTGAAGGGACAAAAGGAGGGAAAAGGGGGCAAAGAACAATTCATAGTCCCAAGAACATGTGCACGGAAAACAAGCGGGACCAGACAGATGGAGAGGCAAGCATCGAGTCCTCCGCTGTCTGTCGCCGGCCACCCCTCTTGCTTGGAGTGGTGTCAGCCCACTGGCCCTCAGAGCTGAGGTCCACAAGGTTCCAAGCCTTTGCAAAGGAAGGGAGGGTTGCCCTACTAATCCATCAGACTTCTAAGATCAGAAGTCTACTATTTCAGACTTCTAAGATATTAACACTTGTGTATGAGAACATAGAAAAAAATAAAAAATGAGGATTACTTACTCTGTGAAGGAGGCACACTATTTTGCTTAGTATTGGACTTGGATTTATCTGTCTCTTGTAATATCGGTGGCACTTGGGAAGAGCTCTTGTCAGAATCACTTTTTGATAAAATAACGGATGGCTCGGTAGAAATAGCAGGTGGAAGAGTCTTGATAGGCTATTTTGGAATAAAATTATTTTAGGTTCTTTTATACAAAGTTTCAGATAAAATTAAGTATCACGGTAATACCAAGAGGCTGTTTAGGAATAAGTAAATACACCAAGACGGTTTCCAAATAATTACCGGCAGAAACACCACAACTCATGCCTGCCCTCTAGCAGCATAACCAAGTAAATCTTTACCTACAATATCCATCAATAAAGGGCAAGAAAAAAAATGGATGAAAAGTATTAAAATTACAAGATGTTTACTGAATCTCAAATAAGAGGGAATAATTCCATTTCCATGAGCTTTTATGTCCTTCTTTTGCATTACAAATATATTTTATATGTTCTAGTGATTCAATGTTCTGTCCACTTTTCACCATCTCTCAATTCCTCAAAACTTTTTCATATGAAAGACAAGAAAAAATGGCTAATTTCTGAACTTCCAGTGGGTGACATTCCCTCCTCTGTTTCTTGAGAGGTAACTCAAACAGGGCAGCAATCACTTCCGTTTCCTACCCACGGAAAAAGATGGCATCAGACAAAAGCAGACTGTAGCTACTAGTCCTACCCATTAAAGGAAGCAATGATCCAAATTTTCCAGTTCTATCCAGTCTGGTAGTGAAATCGTAAGGCTGAGGGCCTAGACTCAGTCCTTGCCTCTCCTCTCCAACCTGGGAGCAGAAAGGGGGCAAGTCAACTGATTTGCCTAAGTGAAGCCTAACTGTAAATGGGTGGTTAGGAGAGGGAAGGATGGAAGCTCCAGTATTTGGAGTGCCTTGAGGCTGTAACAGAGGAGGAGGAGATCCATTCATCCTTTGGTGTTACTTATCAACATGATGTGAATACGGGAACAGGGCAGGTGACATTTCTCCTGCCCCTAGTTCTTCCAGGCTCTGTGGATGTTAAGAAAGCTCAACTGAGGGGCGCCTGGGAGGGGCACCTGGGCTATGGAGTTGGTTAAGCATCCGACTCTTGGCTTCAGCTCAGGTCATGGATTTGTGATTGTGGAATTGAGCCCCACATTAGGCTCTGTGCTCAGTGCACAGTCTGCTTCAGATTCTCTTTCCCTCTCACTCACTCACTCAAATAATTAATTAATTAAAATTTAAAACAAGCTCAAAGGAAAAGGAAACCGGAGGAAGCTTTGTACATGCAGGTAATTACTTGGATTCCCTATTTCACTTATGCATTTGTCTTGCTCAGTTCAGCTTTCTTAATGTTCTCTAGATTTACTTCATACTCAAAAGTTTTAGTATTTATTTCCAGTATTCTCTTCTCTATTGTCTCACTTAATCTGTTAAATCCCAGAACTGAAATAGTTTACCAGATGGCTTCTGAAAATGACTTCCTAATAAGTAAAACATCAAAATGCCAAATGACCCTTTGCAGCCCTACTATTAAATCTATGCTTGTACTGAGATCACATCCTTTCATCTCAAAAGGGAATTTTTCTCTTAGGGAATTAAAAGCATCAAATCCCAATAGGAAGTATGGTTAAGATTTTATTTTAGCACAAGACCATTACCAATTACTTCTTTTAGTGGTAACTCAGATTCTTTTCTTTTCTTTTCTTTTTTTTATTTTAAAACTTTATTTTTAAGTGAGCTCTAACTCCAGTACAGGACTTGAAGTCACAACCCCAAGATCAAGAGCATATGCTTCACTGATTGGGCCAGCCAGGTGCCCAGTAACTCAGGTTCCTATCTGAAGCTGTTTCATTAAATATGTATGCTCCACAAAGGCAGAGATGTTTTTTATCTGCTTTGCTCTTGGATATATTCTTAGAACCTCAAATAGTGGGTGGCGTGTAGTAGGTTCTCAATACATTTTTTTGAATGAGCACATAAATGAGCCATGCAAGTCTAGTAGGATTTCATATATTTCTATATAATTTGCCTTTCTAGAAATCAGATTTTTAAAAACTATGACTTCTTGTGTCGCTGGCCTAGACTTTTAAAATGGTCCCTTCTGACATATTAAAATTTTCTACTGAATGGCACATATTTCAAGAACCTGTCACAAGGGGGCCTGGGCGGCTCGGCTCAGTGGCTGGGCTCTGGCTCGGGTCATGATCCTGGGTGCTGGGATCAAGCTCCACACATTGGGCTCCCTGCTCAGTGAGGAGCCTGCTTTTTCCTCTGCCTGCTGTTCCCCATGCTTGTGCTCTTTCTCAAATAAATAAATTGTTTAAAAGAAAACAAAACAAACAAACAAAAAAAAAAAACCAAAAAACGAACCGGTCACCAAATTTTAAACAAATGTTGTTACATTTTGAGAAGTTGGACCAGAGTCCTATTATGTACTATGTGCCTGCTTTTAGCAAGATGCAACCAGTTACATTTCCTCTAAGCAATCTACCCTCTGTATGTTTAGATATTTAATAGAAGAAAATACATTCTTGTGATCCTGGTTTCACCAGAGATAGTTATGCAGCTTGGGACAAGGTATTCAACTTCCCCAACTTCATTTACATAATAGATCTTACCTCTCTTGTGGGGCTGTGATGAGGGCTAAATTATTTAGTGTATTTAAAATGCTCAGCCCTTTAGTGATTAGCGATGCTTAGCACTTAGTGCTTCAATAAAATACGAGTTATGGCACAATTCTTAAGTCATCAAAATTTTATTCCTTAAATATCAAAAAATTACCTGGCTATTTTTGATGAGTGCTTCAGCTGGATCACTAGTGCTTATGGTCTTCAAAGAAAAAGCTTTTTCCTGCTTTGGACGGACTTTAGAGGTATTCACTGGAAGCTCTTCTCTAATCTCTTTTTCTAATTCTTCTGTGTCCTACAGAGAAAAGTAGTCTATTAGATGATACAAATCACTCTTTTTTTACTAATTAAAAATCTATTTGGCTTGTTATATTAATATCCAAAAGATAGTCCAAGAAAGTAATTTAACTTCAATAACTGTCCAAATAGCTTAGCAGAGCATATAAAAACAAGCATTCAAAGATTGAAAATACACAGGTTCATCTGGAACAACAGTGATCACTCCTGCTATCCCCAGGGACTTCAATCAATTGGGAATTAAAAACCAATACACTCCCATCCCCAAATGCAAACCATTCTAATTTACTAAACCAACTCAAACAAAATAAACTTTTTTTTTTCTTTTAAACAAAGTACACAGTGAATTAGGTGATACTCAAACCAAGACTTTAGAAATAACATTTCACTTAATGAATTCTTCAAGGAACAAAATATTTGTACATATGCGCATTCTGTAGATAACTGAGGCTGACATAGCAGAAAGGACATTGCGGTTTTGGCCTCCTGCAGTCTAGCTGCATAAGGTCAAGGACAAATCATTTCATTCTCTGAACCTCAGTTTTCTCAACTATAAAATACAATGTGCCTAGATAATTTCTAAGGTCCTATCCAAGCTGTAACATTTCCATTCTTAGGCCTGCAGACTTTAAAAAGGAGTTCCAACAAAGTAATTCTAAAGCACATTACATGCTTGGGTGTGTGAAATAAATTATGAACGAGAATATATCAAACAGGACTATCACTGTTAATTGTATTGTTTTTTAGCGAACACATACATACAAACAACTGGCTACGATTATCTTGAAAGTTTTCTGCCAATACTGGTAATTTATAAAACTTGTTCAGGATGGTAGTGGGTTTAGACAGCAAAACAAATTTTGTTGTGATTTTAAGTTAAATGAATAGGTTTGGAAGTATGTATGTAAGATTTGCAATCTGTATAAAATTAATGTGAACACATCAGTTAGTTCTACCCTAAGCTATACTCTTTTCTTTTTAAAAAAAGATTTTATTTTGACAATTGAGAGAGCGCGAGCAGGGGAAGCAGCAGGCAGAAGGACAGGGAGTAGCAGGCTCCCCGCAGGGCAAGGAGCCCGACATGGGGCTCGATCCCAGGACCCTGGGATCATGACCTGAGCTGAAGGCAGACGTTTAACCAACTGGGCCACGCAGGTGCCCCTCTAAGCTGTACTCTAACAGTAAAGACGCCCACCAACCACGTACACACAAGTAAAATAAACAAATTCCCAAATGTATTATGGGTAGATTACTATGTTCTATATACTTGGCACAGAATTTCATGATGTCTCATTTAATTTACAAAGCAACCTATGCAGTTAAGTCACTTTTGCAAAATAAAACAAAAACTACTAGTTTACTAAATGGCAAAACTGAAATTTGAATACAGATCTGACTCCAAATCCTGTATACTTACTCCTTGTTATTTATTTAAAAGATTTATTGACTTTGGAGGGGGGAGGGAGGGAGGGGAAGAGGGAGACAGTCTCAAGCAGGCTCAGTGCGGAACCCCATGTGGGGCTCCATCTCACAACCCTGAGGTCATGACTCAAGTTGAAACCATGAATCAGACACTTAACCGACTGTGACACCTAGGTGTCCCATACTCACTATTATTTTTAAAAACAGATCAAAGGAGTATCAGAATACCAAAAGAACTTTCACAAGTTAATGACCTTTGCCAGTAAGTTGAACTTTACAGATTACATCTATTGCACAAAATTTCTTCTAAAAGGAACTCATCTAATTCACAAACCAAAAATCACAAAAGTCCAGGAAAGTCTGGCTTAAAAGAGTTCAGACAGTATTATCAAGCTGTCAATAACATTTTTCATTAGCTCACTTAGCTAACAAGAGAAGCACCTCTATTACATAGTTTTAGTTTTTCATATCCATTGATCTCAGTTGTGTTAACCTTAATACCCAACCACTACTTGTGAGAAAAAACTAATACTGAAAATGGATTGGTGTCATTTATGATGGGCTGTGCTTCCCTTAACAAAAATGAATGCAACGCATATTTCCTTTACTTTTTATTTTTTTTAGAAAGCTGGTTCTTTTTTTTTTATGTTTTTTTTTTAATTTTAATTTATGATAGTCACAGAGAGAGACAGAGAGAGAGAGAGAGAGAGAGAGAGAGAGAGAGGCAGAGACACAGGCAGAGGGAGAAGCAGGCTCCATGCATCCATGCACCGGGAGCCCGATGTGGGATTTGATCCCGGGTCTCCAGGATCGCGCCCTGGGCTAAAGGCAGGCGCCAAACTGCTGCGCCACCCAGGGATCCCCCGCATATTTCCTTTAAAAAAGCCTTATGCAGCAACTTTTCCCAAAGAAAACAATAAACAGGAAAATTATTATGTGGGCTATCCTCTATAGAAACTCTGGCTATGTCCTACATTTATTTACTAACTTATTTTTTAAAAGATTTTATTTATTTGACAGAGAGGGGAGAGCACAAGCAGGGAGGGGGCGGGGGGAGCAGCAGGTAGAGGGAGAGGGAGATGCAGGCTCCCTGCTGAGCAAGGAGCCGCACATGGGCCGATGGCAGAAGCACATGGGCCGATTGCAGAACCGTGAAATCATGACCTGAGCTGAAGGCAGACACTCAAAGGATTGAGACACCCAGGTGCCCCTATCTCCTACATTTAGAGGAATAAAAACAACTAGCTGCATGTTGTAAGTAAGGAGTAAGATTTCCGTAATTTGTAATGTAATGGTGATAGTGTTTCAAAGAGAAACCCATGCATACTTCTAGTAATCTAGTATGTTTGAAATTAAAATAGCTTTGCTTTCACCCATATTATAAAAAATTTTCCTAATAGGAGAGACCATGAAAAAAGAAGGAAAATGTAGGAGTGACATCAACAAAGCTCCTGTCAGAAGCCAAACAAGCAGAAGATACTAAGCGAAACAGAGCAAACTCAGAGTGGATGATACTTCACTCGTGATGCACACGGTTGTTCTAATTGAACTAAACTTCTAACTTGCTAATAAATTCCAGTTATTCAAAAGACATTCTGTGCGAAACACTGTTATATCCTTTTCCATTTCACCTTAATATAAACCAAAATGTATCTTATTTTATTTTTAGTAACTTTTGGTTTTACATCTTTGGTTATGATTTTTTTAGAGCCACAGTTTTTATTACAGTAGGATATAGAAGATCTTTAAAACATTCTGTGACTTTTCCAGTGCTTTGCAAGTAAACCTGCTATCTCCTATTATGTCTTTTATTTCTACATATTCTTAGTATCTGCATATTAGCCTTTCACATTTCAGCAGTAGGTGCTTAATGAATGACGTCTGTTGTTCTGATACCCTACCTGTGCAGGAGAGTTATCTTCACTTTGCTTCTTCTTTTTCTTTTTTTTCTTTTTAGATTTTCCAGTTGGAAGAGCTCCCTCTCCCTTTTCTTTATCATCATCTGAAACCTGATGTTAAAAGCAAAATATTAAAGTGAACCAATTGGTTAAGTTTTCATTATTCAGAAATTATGTATGGAATAATTTCATTCATTAGGCTCGGTCTTTATCTCCTAAATGCTAAGAATTAGTAATGAGTAATGAAATGTACCTAAAATTACACATCAAAAAAGAACAAGTACATGGAACTTCCTTCTCCTATGTCTATGACAGACCTTCTTCTTCTTTTTTTTTTTTTAAAGATTTTATTTATTTACTCATGAGAGACATAGAGAGAGAGGCAAAGGCAGAGGCAGAAGCAGGCTCCACGCAGGGAGCGCAACGCGGGACTCAATCCCGGGACTCTGGGATCACGCCCCGAGCCCAAGGCAGACGCCTAACCACTGAGCTACCCAGGCATCTCTTTTTTTTACATCTTTCATCCCCTCCACGATAAATTACTAGAGCTGTGCAAACCTTGGTTTTTAAAAACTCACTGGTTAGGTCATTCTGTTTTATTTCATAGTTTAAATGCAGAACTATTTGCAGTAAAACGGAATCCTACTCTGTTAAGAGAATGACAAGCTACTGAGTGGGAGAAAATATTTGCAAACCATATATTCAACAAAGGACTTATATATCTAAGACTATATAAAGAACACTCAAAATTCAATAGTAAACAATCCAATTAGAAAATGTGCAAAAGATATGAACAGACATTTCACGAAAGAGGACAGACAGATGGCAAAGCACATGCAGAGATAGATGTTCAATATCATTCATCGTTAGGGAAATGCAAATTAAAATCACAATGAGTTCACTAGACACTTATCCGCAGCTAAAATAAAAAATAGTGACAAGCAAGAGCTGGCAAGGATTCAGAGAAATACAATCATTCATTTATTGTAAGTGGGAATGGGAAGTGATACAGCCACTCTGAAAAAGTTTGACAGTTTCTTAATATGCTAAATATGTAACTATTTACAACCCAAGGATTATACTCCCAGGCATTTATCCCACAAAAATACTTATGTTCGCACAAAAACTTGTACATAAATGTATATGGCAGCTTTATTCACGGCAGCCCCAAGCTAAAAACAATCCTGATGTCCTTCACCAGGAGAATGGTTTAACAATCTGAAGCAGATCCACACTGTGACTACTCAAAAGTAAAAAAGAGCCAACTAATGAATGCATACAACGACCTGGATGAGTCTCTAGAGAATTATGCTGAGTGGAAAAAAAAAAAAACAGTATGAAAAGGTTACATGCTGTATTATTCGATTCATAGAAAATTCTTGAAATGACAGAATTATAGAGATGGAAACAGACTACTGGTTGCCAGGCATTACCATGGGGGTGGTGACAGGAGGAAGAGTGGCCATAACAAAGGGCAACATGAGGGATTCTTGCAGGACGGGAATGTCGTCTATATCTTGATGCAGTAATGGCAACTCCCTAGTTGTGATACTGTACTGCAGTTTTTCAAGATGTTACCACTGGGGGACACTGGGTGAAGAGTCCAGGGATCTCTCTGTATCATTTCTCACAAATGCTTTTCACTCTACAGTTATCTCAAGATAAAAGGCTTAATTTAAAAAACAGAGTGAGACGGAATGTCACTGAAAATAACATCCCATATGACAAAAATAGTGACTTAGGACAAATTAATATTCATAGTATCCCTTCACACAAAGCATACAGTTGACTTTTCTATGAAAAAGTGCTTTTTGTTTCTCCATGACAGGCAAGATTCCTACTCTACCCTTATAGGAAGAGATGATGGGGTAACTACTACTTCTCTGCTCAGCAGAACAGTCATTAGGATGATTTTGGAGGTCTCACGAACCACCAACTAGTTCACAGAAATTACTAGTAGATGGAAAAAACAAAATCCTACACAAACTTAGCTAAGAGATGTCCGGTACAAATTGGATGCCAGTTGTGGAGAAACTTCCACACAGAAGTTTTTTTAAAAATATTTAAAGATTTTTAAAGATTTCATTTCTTTATTCATGAGAGACACAGAGAGGCATAGGGCAGAGAGAGAAGCAGGCTCCATGCAGGGAGCCCGATGTGGGACTCGATCCCAGGACCCCGGGGTCAATAAGCTGAGCTGAAGGCAGATGCTCAACCACTGAGTCAGTCAGGTGCCCCTCCACTGAAGTTTTCACCATGGGCTCATAATGACTGAAATATGTGAAAAAAAAAATGCATCCTATGGGAAATATTCAGGTCACAAGGACTCTGGTCATTCTGCTTCTCAGCCACTTATAATCCAATCATAAGAGAAATTTCCTCATGGCAAAACACTATTTTTTGTTCATGGGGAAAAGGCTGAAATCAACTCCATACCATCTTTTAACTCATATGAAACTGACATTTTGCCAAATTTATTTTAGATCATTAAATGTAAAAGATATTACTCATAAAATTCCTTTACATCCCCCCTTCCCAGTCCACACCACCTTCCCTAGGGGTAAACCACTAATTACCAAGAACTTTTTTGTCTATCCAACTAAGTTTTTTAAATAAATTCTGGTGTGTCCACGCATATAAAATTTACATAAATGGTATCATACTGTATCTTTCTGCAAACCTGTCCATCATTCAGCGTGTTTCTGAGTCTATCATGTTGATATCAATGTAACTTATTTCATAAATTTCTAACTTCTAACATGTGATTGTACAAACCCATCACATTTTATTTCTCCATTCCTCCAAGGTGTCCCATTTTTGCTAAGAAAAATGAAAGACAATCTTGGAGTATACTCAGAACACGAACTGCTATACGTGACAGTCTTTACTCCATTCAGTGGTTCTACTGTTTAATTCTGATCATCAAGCACCAGGAAGTTTCAGGTAGAGAAACAGATTTTTGGTTGCACATTCATTAAACATTCAACAAATACCAGAATGATTACTGTGTGTTACGGGACTGTACCAGGAAGCTTTTCTATCCTAATAGGCTTTATTTTTAGAGCAATTTTAGGTTCACTGCAAAGCTGAGCAGGAGGCAGAGATGTCCATGTGCTCCCCAACCCCGCCATGCTCCCTCCCCAGAGTGGTACAGGTGTTACAACTGATGAGCCTACACGGGCACAGGAGTATCACCCAAAGCCCCTACAGTTTACCTTAGGGTCGTACATTCTACAGCTTTAGAACAAAATGCATAATGACATCCATTCACCATGCTACGGTGTCTATATGCTCTAAAACGCCCTACGCTCTGCCCATTTATCCCTCTCTCTTCCTAACCCCTCAACCTTTGTATCACCTATAAACTGTCCCCCTCTACATTTATTTACACCTTTAGTATAAGTCCCATGGCCACCTCTTCCTTTCTCTGGTCTCTGTAGATCGGAGGTAATACCATCCTAACTGGATCAAAGGCCAGCCGACAATCCACTCACGCCTAAGGCTCCCCCACCTCTGCTGTCAGGATCTTACTCTATGAGCCAAATCTCTCATTTATGTCTAACTTTTACTTGATTCTAGATCCCTTTTCTCTGTGTCTACAGATACATTAAATCACGGGTTGACGAACTCCAAACCTGCTCTGGTGCCAGTTTTTGTAAAGAAGGTTCACTTCCTTACTGCTGATGGTTGATTTTGCACTACTTATCGAACTTTAAAGTTTACCCTCGACTAAAGTCTCTATAGCAAAACTCAAAACCCCCTCAACAAAACCCTTCCTGATACTACCACCTCACCTTCATTTCCATCCAAACTTAGTTAAAAGAAAAAAACAAAACTTCTCAACCTACAGCAACATGGTTTTGAGTCCAGGATCTCTAACAAAGCTGCTCTTGCTCTTAATCAGCAGAGCGCAAGCGGCTCGCTTCTGTCACCCAGCGCTCTCTTCCTTCAGTCTTTCGTGGGCTTTCGTTTCCTCCTTCAAAGCTGGTAGTTTCCCAGATTCCATGTTCATTCCACTGCTCTTTTCAACTCTAGATTTTTCCTACATATTTCACCTACTCTCAAGGTGCTGAACCACTGTATACTAGGAACTTCCAAACACATCTTTCTCCCTAAGCTTTAACCTGGCACAAAACCAACTTCTCTCAGGCATTTAACATATTCCAGATGGAGCCAATCATCCTTCCCCCAATTAACTAGCCTTTGGTCCTATATTTTCTCTGTTGGGAGCACCACTTCCATCTTCCCCAGTAACCCAAGCAAAAATCCTGGAAGTCATTTTGATGACTCTTCCTCCATTCAACTCTAACCACATGCTCTGTTGATTTTATTTCAACGTATTTTTCAAGTCTATTCAGTATTCCACCTACCATTCTTAGTAGCGACTGTCCTGGACTACTAAGCAACCTCTAAACTGGTCTTCCCGCCTCTATTCACATGTGCCTCTGCTCCTTTTCCTACCTACGTGGGCTGCTGGTGTAGCCCACGTAGAAAAAAACACTTTAGCTTAAAATCCTTCCATTACTTATTGGATAAAATCCAGGTTTTAAATACGTCATTCAAGAACCGCTAGCATCTGATCTTTGCCTCCTTCTCTAGTTTAATTTCTAACTGCTCTTTGCTCTACGTGCCGCCTCTATCTCTAGGATGCCTTTGCTAAAACTCCTAAGTGCTTCCCTAATACCTAATACATACTGTAACCTTACTTTTATCTGTGGACATGCTGGTCCCCTTCCTCTCCTAACCAGACTGTAGGCTCCTTGAAGGCAGTAACTGTGTCTTATTTATCTTTTCCACTAATACCTGATTCATGGCAGATGTTCAATTAGTATTTGTCGAATACCAACGGCTCTATTACCTTCAGAGCCTCTTTGGCTTTTCACCCTTATTCCTACAACTAGTCAAGTTTTGATCAGTAGCTTTAGGTCTCTGGTAAACACCACTTCCATTTATTTTTCGAAGCTATCAATTTAGTTCATTATCTCCTACCTGATTCATGTAATTGCCTCTTTACCACTTATCCCAAAATAGCTTCCGAAGCTTCTTGTTTTTCCACTGTATCCAGCCCAAATGTTCCTAATCCTATGAGGATTAGGTTATCCTTTGTTTAAAAGCTGTCATCAGGTTATCACTTACAGAATTTCATGAAAATGTGGCAAGGTAAGCATCATTCCTTTATTTACTGCATGCCAAACATGCTGTTAGAGCTACAGACATAAACACTTCACAGTCCCTTTCTTTAAGGAATACAGCCTAATAGGGTAAGATCCTATCATCAACGGACTCCACACATGTGTACTATTTACCTCTCCACTAAACATTACCTATTTTCCTGCATCGATGTCTTTTTCATGGTGTTCTCAGTCTTGTCTGTTGCTATGAAGAAGCCTTCCTTAATCTATCATTGGCAACTGATCTATTCTTTGCTAAACACACTAAGAGTTGATATATCACAACTATTATAATAATTCTCTTAAGAGGAAAGGAACTGTATTTCCTGATCAGTGCCTAATAATGCTTTCGACATATCTGAAACCTCAATAACTTTTGGAAAGAATAAACAGTGATATAGAGAAGGCATGCAGGCATAAGGACTGAAGCAAACAGGGTCAGAGAGGCTCAGAAGCAATTCTACCACGGGATGCATTTAAAATAGAGAACGTAACCCCTAATAATTCTAATGTAGTTGGGTGCACAAAACAGACATACCCGCCAATGCCTTTACTCACTTTTTGATCATCAGGAATTGGTTCCTGGGACTTTAGCAGTGAAGCTCTTTCTTCATCTACCCAATTTCCCCACTCTTCTGCTGGTGCATTCCAATCAGAGCTGGGATCAGCAGAAGACAGACCATCTAAAATTTAACAGTGTGAATTAGGTATCTATCATTTCTGCCAAAAGCTAAGATGCAAAAACTACAATTCCTTCTGTTGAACTAAGCTGCAATTTTAAACTATTGCTCTTCCTTCTTTTTCCCAAGCACATTTTAAGAGCTAGAAGAAAACCCAAAAACATGATGGTAAAAAAACCTGCTGCTCCACTTCTGCTAGGCACCTCATATGGCTGAGTAAATGGAATTTCTAAAACTCCCGGAAACTTAAGAATTACCCATTTAATTCCACTCTCCCTAATTCCTTGGTGACCAACCTCCTGACTCAGCTCTTTGTACTGTTTATATGTCTAACTTGGTCAGGGACCTGCTCTTTTCCCTTGGTCATTCCATTTTTGTACTTGACTTTAGTTCCTAGAATTAGTCGGGCTTATTATACTCCCCCCGCCTGTCCCTTTACCCTCCTTAGGAGCTCCTCAGGGTTAGGGTCTTCCAATCCAAGTCGTGACAGAATATTTAATGTTTTCTTTCCTCCTATTTTTTTTTAAATAATTACTTTAAGACATTTAATGGCTGTAACTTCCTCTTTAATACTTAACCTGTACTTTCTTACATTCTCCAGATTATTCAATGCTACTTTTATAATTCGAAAATAGTCAAGTCACTTTCAGGGTTTCTATCCTCTATTCTTGAGAATCTAAGATTCCTTTCTTTCACTCTAGAAGGCCCTGAACTTTACCTCCTTTGCTCATTCTAAAAAGGAAGAAACAATCTTTGGCTTTATCCTGGTTAAGTAGCTCTCAAAGTCAATTCTCTCCTCTCCCTGGATTTCATAAATGCTTCCACATCTACTTCTGCAGCAACTACTTACAGCCAGGTTTCATTTCCAGTGGTTTAAGATGAGAAGGGTTAAGCTCTATTTCTAAGTGGTTAACAAGTCATTCTACACTGCTTTGTTGAAAAATGCAATCTTTTCCCATTAATGTCAAATGCTACTTTTATTAACTAGTAACTTCTTTCACATACACTTCAGCCTACTTCTAGAATCTCTATCCTATTTCACAGATACATTCCTGGGATGGTGCCATATATAACTGTAACTCATTTTAGTAACTAGAATGATGAATCTGCCTGCATTCTTATTTTCTTTGCTGTTCTTTTCTTGTGAACTCTATTTTTGTTTAAAGGCAGGGTATTATTATATACCTCATAAAGGCTCTAAAACCCATGTTTTGGAAGAAAATAATAATCTGGGAAAAGGCTCACAGAAAAAAAAAAAAGAGACAAAATTGTCTGTAAAATATGATCCCAAATTTATATGAGGAAGAGGTTGGAGAAAATAATACAGTAACGAGATATATCTTAAGAGTGGAATTACAGGAATTTCACCTTATTAAGCACTTACTATATACCAGAACTGGAGTGGGGTAGATGCTAGACATACAAAACTGAGTATAATGTACTCCCCCCGCCAACGTGGAGCTCCTGGTCTTATCTATTCAGAGATGAAGACAGGTAAGTACAAGAGACAAGTACAGAGTGAGACAATCTGTCACAGGGGTATGTAAAGGGAGAAGAGGGGCTAAAACAGTAGAGGACGGAGAGACTGAAAACATAAGAATTTATGGTCTAGTGGGAGAAAAACATGGAACAAGTGATCACAAGTGTGAAGTCTGTTACAATAAAGGAAGTCCACTCCTAAATTTACTACCGTGAGCAAGCATCCAGAGGCAGTATTAACTTAACACAGGGGTTAAGAGCATGGACCTTAGAGTCAAAACAGATCTACATCTGAATACTGATCACCTCATAACTACATGATATGGGTCAAATTTCATAATCTTAATGGGTTATACACTAACTTCACAGGACTGCTGAGAAGATTATATTAGATACATATAAAGCAGTGCACAGCAATGCAGTAAGTATTCAATGAGTGGCAGGGATTGTGTTTATGTATCACTGATGATACTAACAATAGAAAGCCCGTTTCTAAGCTATCAGGCATATATAGTTAAGAATTTGTTTCTTACAAACCTGATAAATCTCTCAATAAGATACACTGAGAACCAACTGCTCATCTTATATTAAGCTTTCATTAACAACACTGTTGGGAGATCTGAATGCAGATTTGGAAAACTGCTCTCCATATGCCAGGTCTGCAAGGTCTTTTCTTATTAGAATAAAAAAGGTTAGACAAGTGGGTTAGCAATATACTGACATATAAACTATTTTCTTAATAAATATGGTGGTGTGGAGGAATAATGGGTAAAAATCTAGTATTTTAGTAACATTACTTTTTTAAAGGCTTAGATAACCAGAAAGTCTGAGGTATGACTACAGCCTATGGTTTAACTTCTGTAAGAACATTAACAGAAGCACAAATCTCTACTGGCTCTATAAAGCTTTATGGTGATTTTTCCAGGTTTATTGGTTGGAGGTTTGTTTTGTGTTAACTGAGATCAAACAGAACCACTTTATAAAACAGCAGATCACCTAAACATAAAAGTTGTCACTAGGAGACTTCTCAACAATAATTCTTAAGATTCGTGGGCCTAATATGCTAACAAACCACTTTCCTTTAAGAAACTATGCAGTATAATGTCATTCATTATATCATTTTCTCCATTTATAAACGGAGTAACTTCTCATTTCTCAAAATTCTCCCATTACTTTGCCAATATCTTTTCAAAGAGCCCTATTAGTGTCTTTTCAAAATGGTAAGGAATTTCTTTATTTAATTTGCTTAAATAATATTTTAGGTTTAAGCATCTCACAGCTAATCTCTTGTTTTACATCAGTAAAAAATTTGCTCAGATGTTTCTGGTCAGAACTTACTTTAATACAACAAAACACTTATGTCAGAAAGAATCTCCAGTGTTCAAAAACAGACAATACTAATGAACTCCACTGAGAAGGTGAATGTCGCCCCAGAAGAATATCAACAGCTCCACTGCACGTACTGGGCATTTACTGAATATGTTCTTAGTGTTCTAAGTGTTCTATATGGACTTTATCATTTAATTCTCAACAACTGTGGAAGAAGAACTATTATTTTTACAGATGATGAAACTGAAGCAAACCACGCACCTGTCCAAGGGCTAAGGCTAAGATTCAAACCCAAGTAGTCTGTCTGCAAAGCTCATGCTCTCAACCCCTTTAACTATGCAAATTCACTCACTCTGGTGTGCCAACAAGAACAGAGTTCTATTCAAAATCTGACTTTTACAGGGGTTATGATGATGTTCTTTTATGATCAAGACAATCGATAAGAGTAACATCTGTCTTAAAAAACGTTACCTTCTGTACTTTAGCATCTTAACTTTATATTCAAGTGTTTGGCTAAATCCAAGGACTTTTTGTCAGATAATGATGTTTATGCCTCAAACCAGAGGGTCGATATATTAATCATATCACACTATTAAATGTAAAGCTAGTGTGCATGTACGTATCTACGTATACATACATACACACATATATACATACTCTGTGGATTAGTAATTTCAAATACTAAATCATTCATTTTGTAAATGTAGAAGGAATGATTAAGTTCATGGAGTACTAAAATAAGCCACATTAAAGATGGTAACACAAAAAATAAAAAATCACAGAAAAAAGAGGTTAAAGAGAAACTGGATTTAACAAGACTATCAACAGCCTAACCAATGAATGATGGTGTTTCTGATACTTTAGCTTTCAGTAGAGTCCTGTGGATACATCCTTTTCCTTTAGTCTTTTATTTTAGCAGCCAATCATGTTTTCCATGTTATAAGAATTCTAAAATAGACAAAAGTGGAGTTATTCTATGCAAGCAGGAAAGCCTAGAGCCCTGATGGCTCAGGTGTCTTCCACTTCAGCCCACCGCTGCCTCACTGCTCTTCTCTTACTGTCATTCCTACAACCATCCTTCAATTCTATTCGCAGAGCTGATCATTCTTCCCAAAGTACCGAGACTATATTTTCCAGCATTGTTATTTTCACATCTTGTAATACCTTGGATTTACAGGATGCTTTATAATTTGCAAAAAGCTTTCATGTTCATTATCGCATTAAAACCTCACAACAATCTAGAGAAGTAGATATGAGAGATTATTTGCTCCATCTTATAGCTCAATTAATCTAGATTCCAAGATAAGTGCTGAAGTCCAAGCCATACGAGGTACGTTTTAAAGTGATGGCTAGAAGTAGGAAATACCTTTTCAAGTAGTACACCAACCCCACCACCCTAATCTTTAGCCAGCAATTCAAGACTTCTTATAGCCTAATCTACCTTTTCATCTCACTTCCCTTAATCTGTAAGAACTGTGCTTCAGCTAATCTACAGAGACTAAGTAGTCGACAGACTGTTTGTATTGCACTGCAAGTTTACCTTCATGATTACAATCATCACTAGGGTAGGACCACGTGGTGGAGAAGAGCATGAACTCTGGAGCCAGACTACCATAGTTTGATAACACCACCTCAATTTAACTAGCTGTGTGATCTGAGTGAGATAACTTTCTTTGCCTCAGTTTCTTCATCTGGGAAGTGTGGGGAAAAAAAATCACCTACCTTTTAGAATTGTTATAGGCATTAAAATAAGTTAATAAAATGCACAAGACTTAGACTAGAGCCTGGCACATAGCCAACTGTTCGCTTTTCTTATCACTATTCCTATTGAACACCTATATATAGTAGTGTAGTGTACAAAGCACTACACTAGGTACCCAGGATGTAAGAGTTATTGAGAGTTCCTATTTTTAGAGGGTTTCATTTCAACTCTACTTGAAGAAACAAAAGAATTTTATTTTATTTTTTTGAACTGGCCAAATGGTAGAGAAGTCCACAAGGTAACATATAATTGCTAAATAAATATTAGAAAAGGATTTCCTATAAAAATTCTGAGAAAGTAGTATAGAGGTTTGAGGTTGTGGTGGGAAAAAAAACCAAAAAACTCAGGTTTTTGGATTTTTTTTTTTTCCAAGTGAAGTATAAGTTTTCTGAACATAAAAACTGAATTCTTTTTCCCTTCCTCTTTTTTTTTGCCTCCTTAAATAACTCTTGTCTTTAATTTTCCCAAGCAGATTCTACTGGGAATCAGGCTAAGAAAATGGTTTTATAATACAAAACTGGCATACCTCATAAACTGAAAGCCATTTCTGTCTATTATATTCATTCTATTATACTAAAACAAGAAGAAAAACAGAACATTCATGTAAAACAAAAAAAATTTAAAAATAAAAAACTATAGAGCAACTGTAAGAAAACATCATGTTTAAATAATGCCTGAGTCATGAAAAGTGTAAATTTAGTTAAATTCTACAGTTACTTAATAATCAGTTTACAAGTACTACACATTTGGTATTAAATTATATTATGGCCTAAGAGGTGAAAATTAGGGTTAAAATTAAAACATAAATCATGAATTTAGGGTGTTAGAAAGAAAATTCTGAAAAAAAAAAAAAAAAAAAAAAAGCATAATTTTTAAAAGGACATACTTAACCCAGACCATTCATCATCGATATAGGGTTGATTACGGCTAACATCCCACTGATAATCAGAAGTGGTAGAATGAGAAACTGGCTCAGCAGTAGACCCTTAAATGAAAACGAATGCAATAAAATTAAAAATGGAATTTTCTAATGATGTTTCATAACAATAGTTCTATACTTTGCACACGGAGTCTAAATTATTTATTTCCCCTAAAAGGAAAAATGCAGACATTAGAAGAGTTAAGGAAAAGTAGAGTTGAGGGTAATTTCAGATTAAGCGTGATAATCACTTGACTGAATTCACTGATCAGAACTATATTTTGTCCTTAGTACCAATCCATTAGTGTTTGTCATTTATAATACAGATTTGAAACTGATTATCTACAAATTTCAAGAAGTTGGAAAAAAGTCGTTTTATTTTTGTTCTTAATGAAAAATAGTAAAGCACAAAAGAAATCCTGAAGGTTTCAGGATATGCCTATAACCTGAGAACCTTGAAAGAGAGCTAGAAAATGTCTGAGTTTTCTGGAACCTTCTGCCTAAGAAAAAGTTAAAAAAACATGATTATCTAGAGAGGTGAGACAGAGGGAAGCTGGTGGTTTAGAGGCCAAGTTAAGTTCAGGTGCACTTAGAGAGAAGAGACTATTATTCTTCTAAGTTTCTTCGGTTTTCATTTTTGGGGAGGAGGCGGGGGGTGAGAATGGGGTCACATAGTCTTTAGAATCTGATGAAAACTGTGATGGACTATATCATCTAGAACTTACAAAAATTTTGCATATAATTTTGGTGGCACAGAAATTCATGGGTGCCAGGTCTAAAACCTCTGTTCTTTAGCTATTAATTCATTTTAGAATGTGAACATAAAGCAGGGATTCTCCATGAGGGATACATACACCCCAGACCTTCTGAATCAGAATTTCCACATGTACTGGAATCCTTGGGAGACTCTGATACTCACTCTGGACTCAGGGCCACTGATATAAAGAAATGGTTAAAAAAATCTGTTAGTGTAAAACACTTATATGCAATCAAGTCCTCTTATAAAAGTCCTTCCTAGCTTACACATTTTCACCTGGTTGTAGATGATCTTAACAGCCATCCACTAATATAATGGCTTGATACACACTCAAAATAGTTATGTATTTTTAATATAAATTTTAACAAGCAGAATAACCCTATAAATTCACATATAATCAGCATATTAGCTGCTTATAAGCACCACAACAACACTACTGCTATTTCTTTAGCAGCCCATGTTGCTTTCTCTTTCTCTGAATATAAGAGAACAGTATCTGTGTTGTACCAAGTCACCAAATAAAAGAGGCAATTAATTTCTATCTCTGGAACTGAAATGTAGTCTATGAGAGCAGGGGTTGGCAAACTATGACCCATAGGCCAAATGCAAACACTCTCTTTTTTTGTATGACCTATGACTCAAGATCACTTTTTATATTTACAAATGATTAAAAAAATCCAAAGAATAGGATATCAAAACCAGATACAGTTATCTATGTATCCTCTCTGGTTGCCTTCTGGCTACAATGTCAGAATTACATAGTTCCACAAAGACAGTATGACCCACAAAGCCTAAAATATTTATTATTGTGCCCTTTACAGAAAAAGTCTGCTGACCTATAATTCTAGGGACTCCAGACACTGTGGAGCTACATAATTAGTACAGTGGGTCCATGAATTCCAACGTGAAAAAAATGTTGCCAACAACACCTCCAACGTTTATGTAATATTTGTTAAGTAGATATGACTTCTATGTGATTAATAAAAGGCATATCCATTTTTAATGCTGAATACATAATAGTTTATTAGTAATACTGTATTTTCTAAATCAACAGATACTCTTAAGTTATTATGTGACGGTCTACATAACCGAAAAGGATTAGTTGTAAACTCATGATAATGGGGGCAAATAGAAAGGAAAGAGCAAACTGCAAGTAGAAGTATGGTAGAAATATGTGAGTAACAGAAAAGTATCATGAGCCTGAAGGGAAGGCCTTCTATTTGCATTTGTCTGCCTGCCAAGGAACTTTCAGTTATGTTAGGTCACAGAATCTTTTATCTTCACTACAGAAAGGAACCAAGCTACTGACAGATAAGAATTTAGGTCTTCCTTTCTCCCCTTTTATTAATGCCTCTGCTACTTTATATATCTATTATTTATGTCGATAGCAGTACTTGACTCGATTATTTTTCAAATAGCGAGAGCTAAAAAGAATTGAAACAGAAATTCTTTTGTTAACTAAATGAAAGACTGTTTTCACATACCAGAAACAGCAGAGTTAAGTGTGAGAGATGCAAAAGAAGCAGAATTCTGTTCAGAGGTATTCATTCCCCTATCCACACTAGACCAAGCAGCTGTTAAAATAAAGAACGTCACTTGGAACCTTCAATTTGCAAAAGAAAAGTTGAAAGATATGTACAGGCTTAAACTATGATAATAATATTTAAAGATAACCTTAGAAATTAGGACAATACAGCAATAGCTACTATTTATTGAATGTCTATTATAGGCCAAACTTTTCATACCAGTGCCTCTAATCCGTAGGGTAACCCTGCTAAGGCTCAATTTCAGAGTACTTAAGTGACTTGCTGACAGCCAGAAAACAGCTGGGCCTTGACTGGAACTTAAGTTTATCTTCAAAGCCTTTCTCCACTTTAACAAGCTCCCTTATTATTTACCATCATTATGCTACTACTTTGGGACAGGCACTGAACTTGGTTCTTGACCTTCATTACAGCCAATCCTCATAACTACTGAAACTAGGAAATTCACACAGGTTAAAGAACTAGCCTGATTTCCACAGAAGTTAGTATGTGGGAAAATAGGGACTCATGCCAAATAGGTCTGTTTCAACTAGTCCACACTCATTCTACTATACTTATTATTTCCTCAACATTTTCAAGATATTTTTTACTTGTAAATGAGTATTTTAAAGAACATATACATCCATGAGACCAGTCACACCAGTCTCTTCTTAGTGATTTACTACAAATCCAGTTTAATATAGTTCTTTCAATTTCAACAAAGGTCCTAATCCACCTAGACAGGAACTGTAACCTGCTGCTTTTATCCGCAGCAAACATTAAGCAAGTACCATCTAATTTATGTCCTAACTATAAAAATGCTACATAGCTTTTATAAGTAAATTGCAAATATCTGAAAAGGCCATAGTTTTTAACATTACTCCATAAAATTTGACTATCTTTTGTTAAATATGAAAAGATGCTTTACAGCATTTATGCTTTCTTCATTATTGAAAATGAGGCTGGGCATTTAGGGACTGTCTTCTTCTTCCAAGCCAATTTTGATATTTCTACACAATTTCTGGACATTGTATGGAAGAATGAGCTTAAAAATAATTATCAGTAAATGCTACTAACTGCATTCTTGGGGACAATAGTCAACAGGAGTTTCTAGGCTTAAAAATGATGAGAAAAGCAAATAACATTGGAAGAAAGTTTTTTTCTACTTAAACACTAAACACTCTGTAGTGTCTACTGCTCTTTCAAATAAAAGAAATAAAACAAAAGTATCTGCAACAAGCACAACAGAAAAAAGTGTATGTTTAATGTAAGGAGTTACAACTTGATTTAATAAAAAAAAACAAACAATAAGAGGCCATTAGACAAATGGGCAAAGAACATAGACAATTCATAACATAGCAATGATGAAGAAAGTCGTGAAAAATACTCAACCTCATTAGTGATTTAAAAAGTTAACCAGAACACTTTATGTATTTTTTTGTTTATCAAGTTAGAAAAGATGTATAAATACTAATCTTGGTCAGCACATGATAATTGGCCCTCATACTGATGCTGATTGTATAAATTAGAACTACTCTCTTAGAAAATATCTTGACAATGTGTCACAGAGCACTGTATGTTTATACTCCCTTTAACCCAATAACCTCACTCCAAATAAGCCAAAAACAAATATATTCAATGCAATGTCATTTACAATGTTTTTTTAAAAAATTATCTTTATAATATAGGAATAGTTGAATAATTTATATGCTATGTTTATACAATATATCATAGGGTCTTCAAATAAAAATACTTACAAAGAGGAAAATGTTTATGTTACAAGTGGGGACATAAAACTGCATATCCAAATTGTATTATGTAAATAAACAAGACAAAAACAAAAACAAAAAACAACTGTACACAGGAAAAAATAAAAGGTCATTAAAGATTTATAAAAAACAGTGGAAAAAAAAACCAGTGGTTGTCATTGGGTGATGTGGTAACAGTGGCTTTATCCTTCTCTTTTTGTAGTTTTCCATATTAAACATGGATTTCTTTTCCATCACACACACACACACACACACACACACACACACACACACCCCGGAATTAAGTTGCCTTTAATTTGATTGCTTTCAACAAGAATAAGCTTTCTCAACTACTGGTCTGTATTTTTAAAATTGAGGGGGAAAATTAATTATAGATAGTCATTTTGCGGAGTGCAAAACAGCATCAAAGTAGATGCTGTAAACCACTTTCATTATTTTTAATTAAACTCAACAGAACTGTTGAAATTAATCAAAAAATCTACTCACATGTTACATTTATAACATCACTAAAAATACACAATTATACCCCTTAACTACACTGATAATCAGAAGTGATAAATGTGAGAGCACTAAGAGGAAGTATTACATGCTATTACTGACGTTTTTAGTTTCCCCTTTGCTCTACGTGAAGGTTGAAGATGAATTAATTATTACTATTATTTCCGTATAGCTTCACTCATTTTTCTTTTTTTTTTTTGCATTCCTTGAAAATTCAAAACGTACCAGAAATAAACAACTGTAAGTGAACTTAAAATTTTCTAACACTTCTTACCAATGCCAGAAAATATCGAACGGTCACTCCAACTCCTTCCCCAGTCTTTTCCATTTGCATCTCCAGTGTCTTGACCCCAGGCAGATGGCTCACTTTTCCTCTTGCCTGCGGAAGCAGGGGACACAGAGTTCCACTTCTCCTCACCTGCAATGATCTGTGAGGAGAGTTTGACAGACTTTTCATTCCAGCCTCCTCCATTTACAGTGAGGTTTTCGTTCAATCCTGAAGGAACTTAAAGAAAAGAAAAGAAGATTAAAAACTGATACATGACTCCTTATTCTAAAACTTGGATATTTTCAAATTTCTATGACTGCTTGGTTTATACTTATCACTCATTTTCCCCCCTACTGTCCTGTCCTCTAAACAGTCTGAGCATTAAAGATAAAAATGAAAACTCTTCAAAGTGACATGACCATCATGGATGACTTTTAATTTAAAAACTAAGGGTAGGCTTGAACTTTATATGTTAATGATGTTTTCAACAGCAGAATGATTTGCTCAAAGAAAGTACAACAGAGCAAACAGGAAAACAACACATATTCTGCTATACTCAGAATACTCACCCACTAAAAATATGAACACTTTTCTTTAGTTATATGTTCTTTTTTACACACACACACGCACACACACAATGTATAATAAGGCAGTGATTCTAAAACCTGGCTGCACATTAAAATCAACTGAAAAATTTCTTGAAAATAGACACTGGAGCCTCAGCCCAGACTAATTAGAATCAGAATCTCTAGGAATGCCTCACTGGCTTGTCAGTAGATCATGTGACTCTTAAATCTTGGGGTTGTGAGTTCAAGACCCACATTGGGCATAGCGATTACTTAAGAAAATAAAAATCAAATCAAATCAGAATATTTGTATGCAGGTATATGTACATATGTGTGTATGTTGTTTTTCTAAGCTTCCTAGACAACTGTAAAGTGTAGCCAGGATTAAGAAACATGGGAATGAAGGAAGCTGACAAGGTGAAAACAAGCCTGAAACAAGAAAGTGCTTTTTCATTTCTCGATTTATATTTTACAACACTTTTAGTTTCTAGGTAAGGCATACCACTCTACTTAATTCAATCTTACCATAAATGAGCAAATAAAGTATATTTTTCTAATTGTGAAGCACAGTACAACTTTAGATTGTAGTCCATTTATTGTAAAATATTTGATTTTGCTAAGGAATCAATTTAAATAATTATAGGTATTAAGGCTTTTTCCCCTAATAAACAGGGGTAAAGTCTTTTATCCCATATATGCCTATATTAAAACCAAGTCCTCCCCAACCCCAAATCTTTCTTTTCTGTATTGGCTTACACAATGCAAGCTAGAATAAAAATTGCGTATAAACTATTACTAAAAAAATGTTTTTACATATGGGGAGAGGGAGAAACAACTAGAACATACCAAAGACTGTTAGAAGTGGGAATGATTTTTCTTTTTATCCATTTTCCAAAATCTCTGGATTGTGATTATGTTACTTTAGAAATTAAAACTCATTTCTAAGTCTTTTTTTTCCTTCTGTATCATTCATGTGAGGAAAGAGACATGTATGTAAGTTTCTATTTTGATGGGCCTTCAATTTAAGTTACATGTAATTTCTCTCACCCTGAAGTGTAGAATCTCCTTTTCCAGACTTAAAGTTGCTAACTTGAACATTTAGATGAGAATCACCTGGTTGAAATAGAAATAAAATTTATTTAATACTAAATAGGCCACACTATGCACATTAAATTAGGAGTTAACAAACAAATTAATTTTTACTTGTTAATTTTAATAACTTGCTTCTTCAAGTACTAAATTCATATACTGGAAAAGAGTTTTACAACATATCTAACATGTCCTTAAGGAATTGAGTTCTATAGTTACCCTATTCTTAGTCAACTAAAATGGCAACATAGGACCTGGAAAATTGTTCAAGTATACGTAGAGTCTGCTGTTCTGTAAGGCTTATCAAGATTCTTTTAAGTAGGAACTGGAGAACTGGGGCTCTGTAATTGGATTCAACTTTGCCACCTCTCAACAATACCAGCTGCCTTTTCAATAATCCTGGAAGCAAACACATCCAACTTAAGAACACTGCCAGTATTTGGGACCAGGACTTAGGAAATACAGCAAGAGGTACGATGTTACAACAAAGATACCATTTCTCTGACACTAAAAAGCATAATGATTACAATGTATCAAAAAACCAGCATGACAAAGGATTGTGCTAGCAAGGAAGGCATGCACCAAGACAGTGAAAAAGGGCCACCAACAGAAAGAAGCACTAAAGCATAGCTAATATGTAACGGTGAAAATGCATAAATAGAAGCCACTGCTATACCAAAGCAATAAATTCTGGCAAGTCATCAAGCAAAAAAAGTAAAAGATAACAAGGCTAAGAAAGTGGTCTGGAGACAAATTCAGAGTAGGCAATTAATAAAAAGGAGGAAGAAAAGTCAATGTGCAAGTTGAACAGTACCCTGACTGATGTCTCCAGGGTAAAAGTGATGGCAATGTAGAGCTACAGAAGCCATCAGTGTTGGATAGTGTGAGCACTTTAAATACATGGGAAGAACATTAGCTCAACAACCTCTGAAGTTCCAGTCTAGTTTATCAAACACCTATGGCATTCTCAAAAAGTCAGGGTGATAAGAAGTCCAGATAGAGCCTGCACTATCCAGAACATGCTTGTTTCATCTTGGAATGAAAGCACTCAACATGCAGAACGGTGACAAATAATTTCATTTAGTAAATGTCTCATCCACTATAAGAAATGGAGATGTAAGAGAGTTGGGGCAAAGCAATGCACACAAGAAAAAAAGGCAACATCATTTTCTCATGTGACTCAAGGCAGAAAGGCAATTTTAACTTAGGCCATTCATTAGGCAGTAGTAACAAGTAACATTGCTGGTTTTCAGGTAAACCAATACGTGGTCCACAGTGCTCTCACGAAGAAGGGTATATCAGCACAATCATGTAAGCAGTTCAAAATAGCCAAATTTTGACGTAATGATATTTTGTACATCTGATTAAAAGAAGCTGGATTTGATGTATGACTCTTATGTTCCACTAATATACCTTTATTCTTCTTGGAACCAACAGGAAATGATGCAGTTGTAAGTTGCTCGGTGGTAACTGTGATGGTATTTTCTATCCCAGGGATAGTTGAATCCAATGAACCAGAATCAGTCTGCACCTTATCACGTTTACGCTGCTGTCGTTTCTCTCTGTGACTAATTTTAGTTTCCCAGGCTCCTGACATAGCCCCAGAAAAAAAAGTGTTATTCAGTAAAGGGGAATACAAAAAAAGCTGTAGTTTTGAGGAGGGAAATGGGGCAGGGCACATAAAATATCATGATAAATTTAGAGAGTAAACTAAAAGCCAAGACTACTGATTATATTAATTTATCCTAAGAATTTATTCTAATCCCAGTATGTAGTTTTAGGCAGCTAACTGCCATTTTTATTTATTCTGGTCATTTTATCAACTCTGTCATCTATGAATTAGGAAAAATAATAGGTAGATCATCTTGTATATCTTTTTATCCTGCTGGAGAGAATTGAAAGTGTTATAAATAGTTACTAATAAATGGGTTTACTTGGTGATGACATTAAGGGGCTTCCTCAAGAATTTTGTACATAGCCTTCTAGGGATAGTATATTTATAAACAAGAGGGATAAAGTCCAAACCATATTTCTGAGAAACAAAGACAAAACAATTGCTCAAGATACTGAGCTAGACCTTAAATTTCAAGGTGGTTCCCTTCAGGAAAAACACTATGAAATCCTTAAATAATTTAGATTTTTTAAAAAAGTGTTTTCTAACAAGGTCACAGATCTACACAGTAAAATCTGTAATTATTAAAATAAAACCTAGATACAAGATCAAGCGACACAAATGCAGCTTTTATATAATGCACCATGGTAAAAAAGGATTTAAAATTTCTCTATAGTCCTTTCACTTGCTCAAGTACCTTCATCAACTTCCTTTCCATCATGGCGTGAACTGTTTTGCACTGCTTTAGCATCTGATTTTGATTTCTTCTTATTTTTCTTTGACTGAAAGTAAAATAGAATGTTACTTAATATTTCATTATGTTTTTGAAAAGGTAGGAGTCAGTAAAATACATAATGAAATGTATGATGCTGACAACCGAAAAATTTAATGTTTGATTAAAAACCTTAACATTAAATGGCAATAATAATATGAGGTCACCATGTATTGAGTGGGTTACTCTGTGCTAAGTACTTTACACTCATTTTCTTCTTTATTCCCTAAAAAAAAACAAAAACAAAAACAAAACAACAACAACAAAAAACACCTCACTAGAGAAGGTATTATTCCCATTTTAGAAATGAGGAAACGGAGACTTAGAGCTGTTAAATATTAAACAGGCTGTCCGGGGTCACATTAAGAGTTAGTAAATGGTAGAGTCAAATTAGGAAATAGGTCTATCTGGCTCCAAAGTCTGTGCCCTTAGAAACATGCTACCCTAACATATCATAAACAAGGTACTATAATATAATGGGTTCAGAACAATAAAATAAAAATCTACTGCTAAAGTTCAAAAATAAAATGCACTGATTATTGGTGTTTGGATTTTATAAAACACTTGTTGGAATGCCTATGTATAACAAATTAGCGAGTCAACTATACAAAGCAGGTAATATTTTGTCAGTTTCAGAGCAATGTCAAAATACCTAGGATTTGCATATGATAGATGTTTAGTAATTCATTAAAGAAAAAAATACCTACACGCACGCAAGATATGGATATTCTGAAATAGCCTTCCAATTCCCTTCTGCTAATATTTTCTCCTTTCAAAAGTTCATTAAAACTTTATAGGGGATCCCTGGGTGGCGCAGCGGTTTGGCGCCTGCCTTTGGCCCAGGGCGCGATCCTGGAGACCCGGGATCGAATCCCACGTTGGGCTCCCAGTGCATGGAGCCTGCTTCTCCCTCTGCCTATGTCTCTGCCTCTCTCTCTCTCTCTCTCTGTGACTATCATAAATAAATAAATAAATAAATAAATAAATAAATAAATAAATAAATAAATAAATAAATAAATCCTTTAAAAAAAACTTTATAAAGCCATGATTTCTATACTTAGATTAGTGCTTCCTGAAGAGTATTAACATTCAAGAAATAGTGATTTTATTTATTTATTTATGTATTCATTCAACTATTTATTGAGATTGGCTACATATGTATTCTTGTACACTATCTCTAAGTTTACCACCAAAAAAAAAATTGTATCTTGATAATTAAGTCTTTTTTTATGAGTAAAGCAGTAAATGCTAGTTTGAATAAGCAATAAACGACAGCTCTGAAGAGTGATTAAAAATTCTTTGACAACAGGAGTATGTAAGAAACAATTCAAAAACAATTTTTTTTAATATTCCCCACAGTTGACTTGTACTTGTTTCTTTGCATGTTCTCATCAACACATACCATGTTTCATGTACTGCTTTATTACATCTACCAAGCCAGGCTCACATTCACTTTACAAAAATTGAGATATCATCTACATACCATAGTTTACCCTCTTTAAATTCAGTGGTTTTTGTATTCAAGGTTATTCAATAGTTGTACAACTATCACCATTATCTAATTCCAGAATGCTTTCATCATCACCAAAGAGAAACATGGTTCCTATTATCAGTCATTCCTCACCACCTTTCTCCCAGTGGCGTCCACCACCAATCTACTTTCTGTATGTCTGTCTCTCATATCTACTCTCAAGTAAAGATAATACACTGAGCACTTTTCAATTACAGCCTAGCGTAGGGGGTCAGCAAACTTTTTCAATAAAGGACCAAATAGTAAATATTTTAGGCTATGCAAAGCATATATAGTTCTACACGTAGCAATTAATTGTACAACTCTGCTGCTATAGAAGTAGCTATGCGCAATATATAATTGAATGGGTATGACTTGTGTACCCACAAAATTTTATTTACAAAAACAGGCACCTGGCTGGATTTCCGGAGCCAGAGTTTGCCAACCCCTGGTCTAGAGCAGCACTGTCCAAAACAGAAATATAATACAAGCCATGTTTGTAACTTAAAACTTCCTAGCACACAGGTTAGAAAGTTAAAAGGAATAAGTAACATTAATTTTAATAATATATGTAAAACCAACAAGTCCAAAATACGATCTCAAAATGTAATTAATATAAAAAACTATTAAGGAGAAAGTATGAGAAAGAGTGCTAAGTAGCCATGCAAGTAGCTGCTACATTGGATAGTACAGACCTATAGAAACTAACTAAAGTACCCCCTTTTTACAGATAAGAGAATTGAGACCATAAAAAGATTATATAAATTGCCTGATTAAGGTTATTAAGTGGTAAAACTGGAACTAAAATTCAGTTCTGACTCTAGATCCTGCCTTCACAAATACTCTGCTATGCTGTCTCTCTATATTGAACTCTAAATACAAACTTAATCATGTATTAGCTATGTGAGATTTTGGGCCAAGTAGTTCTAAACCCTCTTTCCCAACTGCCTTATGCGACAAAAATTCCTAACCTCACATAAGGTTCTTTTAAGGATTAAATAAGATATGAAAGCAGACTGCTAACTATGAAGCAATATACATAAATAAGACTTTTTCAAGGAGAGAGCAACTATGATAAAAGGATAGAAATTATATTCACACTGAAATACTGTCATTTGTCACTAAAGTGAAATCTGCAGAAAAATAAAGACAACTATCTTGGTTTTAGGCTAGGTATTGTTTGATTTTTACCTTTAAAAGTCACTCTTTACCTTTAAAAGTCACTAATCAAAAAATCACGCTTACTCAGATGAGACTTAAGAACGTATTATAAAAAGCGTTAAAATAAATATGCATACATGCTACTATTTGCCCAAGCCATCCTACTGAGATAAAACACCTTACTACAGTTAACACTTTTGAAGGAAACTGCAAATACAAAGTTCTGGCTCCTTTGTTAACCACAGTTCTTTACCCCCATTTTTTGTCAGACTACCATGGAGCTGGCCTTAGCCTTTCTTGATTGGGCAGCATGCAAGAAAAATTTATTAAATATCTACAATATGCAAAGACATACACTCCAAAATGTTTATTTGTATATTTTGGAAGGCTATTACACATATCCTACTACAATAATGTATATATGTATAAAACCTATTTTTTTTTAAAGATTTTATTTATTTACTCATGAGAGACAAAGGCAGAGGGAGAAGCAGGCTTCACACAAAGGGTCTGATGCAGGACTTGATCTCCGACTCCAGGATCATGCCCTGAGCTGAAGGCAGATGCACAACCACTTAGCTACCCAAGTGCCCCAAACCTAACTATTTTTAGTGGAAGCAGTATAATTGAATATGCTTCATTACTTTTTAATAATCTTCTAAATTCATGCATTTTAATACTTTAATATTTTTAATATTAAAAACTATCATACCTGACAAAGATACGGAGATCCATTTAAATTAAGGCCATGTTTACTAAAACATGACAGTAATTTTTCCACCTTACCTTCTAATTCCAAGTATGCAAAGGTTTTTGTGGATATGCAGTCAACATACAGTTGTTGTGTATGGAGTACATACATCAGTGGATATGTACTCGACACCAATATTTCCTGCAATTGAATCTGATGGTTTTACTTTATTTTGGCATTTTTAACAAATGGATTCACTAAAAAGACTTAAAATATATATTTTTAAAACTGGTTGTATTGGGGCGCCTGAGTGGCTCAGTCTGGTTAAGCAAGTGCCATTGGCTCAGGTCACGATCCTAGAGTCCTGGGATTGAGACTGGCTTCCTGCTCAGTGAGGGGTCTGCTTCTCCTTCTGCCACTCACCCTGCTTGTGCGCTCTCTCTCTCTCTCTCTCTCAAATAAATAAAATCTTAAAAATCTCCTCCATTAAAAAGATAAAAAACTGGCTGTATTGCTATCACTTATATGAATCTTTCTTTTTTTTTTAATAAATTAATTTTTATTGGTGTTCAATTTACCAACATACAGAATAACACCCAGTGCTCATCCCGTCAAGTGTCCCCCTCAGTGCCCGCCACCCATTACCCCCACCCCCCGCCCTCCTCCCCCTCCACCACCCTTAGTTCGTTTCCCAGAGTTAGGAGTCTTTATGTTCTGTGTCCCTTTCTGATATTTCCCACACATTTCTTCTCCCTTCCCTTATATTCCCTTTCACTATTAACCCAGTCAAGTCTCAAAATAACTCTATGAGGCAGATGCCATTATTTCCACCTTACAGATGAGAAAGGGGAGGCACTGAGTGATCAACTAACCAACCCCAAGATCACATAATTATTACATGCCAGAGCTGGGATTTGATAAGCATGCTCCAGAACCTTTCTGTTAGAAAACTACTCCCAAGCTATTAAATTATGCAGATATGAGAATTTTCACAAATAACAATTTTTAATAACAAAACACACAATGATGTAAACTTCTCAGAATATACTTTTTTTTCTCAGAATATACTCTTGATTGCATGAGTTTCTTAAAAAAAAAAAAAAAAAAAAAAGCCACCTTGTGACACATTGTTAAAGTTTCCTTAACACCGAAGGGACAGATTAGTAAGCACAAATTTTTCCCAAAAAGATCTAAGTAGACAATCACTTGTTATTGTAAAAAAGATCAAAACATTTAAAATGCTTGAATTTTAGTAAAAGAAAAATGTGTGGTTCATTTTTTAAGTTGGTCAGCTCTATAAAAGTATTTTGAGAAATATAGTCAATGAATCTCTTCTTTGTACAATAAAAGATGATGACTTCCACTTTGCCCTTACTATAACTTAAAGGCCTTGTTTTCCAATTTGTAGTCTGGCTTTATAACTTTTTTGCCACCATTGATTTATAGAAATAATGTAGTGAATGAATTTCATGCATGGTACTATCTCTATAATTGTATTTCCCTACTCCCCAAATTTTATTTTTTTTTTAAATTTCATTCCAGTTCACACAGGCCCTTCATCAGTGGTTTTTATTTACTTTTTCCACACTAAAAAATTTAAATTAAGTGATCTATTCTTGAGAATCTACCTTTGTAGGTATTTTTTTAA